TGTCCTTTATAAGATGCAGGCAGATGAGCTGATACTCCTGTGGGAATGCCATAACGTGTTCCATTTGAAGAGTGCTTCTGCTGCTGCCTTCCTCCTGAAGCTGGCCACATCTTTATGAACAAGCAGACTTTTCACGTAGTTTTGTCTTGTGACAGAGTTTTCTACACCTTCTCCAAACATGTGGGCCTTGGGTCTGAGTATACCAGACTGCCTCATTGCAAGATGAAGTGCAGCAGTTCCTGTATACGTACCATGACTTTTGTGGGGTTTCCACCAACCACACTGTTCAGACAAAGGAGGCTGAAGTAGCTTCTTTGCCACCATATAATACTGAGCTCTTACAGCATCATCAGTAGCACATCTCATACTAATAATGTTGAATATTGTTCTGTGGCCTAAATTAAGTCTTCCACTCTCCTTTTCCTCAAGTTATAACTGGCAAATCGATGAAAGATCACAAAACGTCTCCCTTGAACTTTCCATCTGACCCTGCTGCTTGCCAGCAGCTGGCAGGGTTTGGAAAGTGAGGAGGCTCAGGGCCCGGGCTGGTGGCACAGACATGGTTGTGGCTGCAGCTGCGGTGTATTGCATGCCTTCCCTTATCCTGTGGCACGCCACAAGATGGACCATGTCAGTGCTAGCTCAGGGCAGGCTGCAGTCACAAAGCAGGTGCATGACATGCCTTTCACTCCAGCGGCGAGCACATGCCATACCCCTCACTGCTCGCTTGAGGTAATTGTGTTCCTCCTCCACTGCAGCTTCCCTTGTGTGGGCCACAGAGCCTTGTGAGTGGCATAAAAACATACATAGCTGTAAGAAAACTTGTCAGGGAGGTGCAACTCTGTGTCAGCTCTTTACTGTGTTGTATTTTCCAATCCATATTCAACCTGGCTACAGAATCATAGAATGGCCTGGGTTGTAAAGGACCTTAAAGACCATCTAGTTCCAACCCGCCAGGGACACCTCCACTAGAGCAGGTTGCACGTTTAATTTCTGAATTTTGAAATGGAATTAAAACTTTATTATAATAACCTTAAATGTACTGTAATAAATTGTGGCACCTCTTGATCTTCATGATTCTGTACATGAGATCAAACTAAAATTTAACTGCTAGGAAAAAAATGTTGGGAGATAAAAATACGCTGCAAAAAGATCAAAGCAGTTGATAGAGAGGGCAAAATTGCACATACAGGGATAAAAAAAAGCATCAGTCAGAGACTGTGACTTGGAACTATCCCAAATCTGGAACCAGTAATGTGGAGGTCCCACAGTGGGTAAGTGAGAATGAAAAAGAGAGAGATTAAAAGGTAAATAAAAGAGGGAGTGAAACAAAACTGTGTGATTTTTTTTTCCCAGTACTGCTTTCTCGGCCTTATTCCTTGAAATAATCATTAAACAAACTTTGGCTCTGCAAAAAATTTAGAGCTCTTCAAAGACTCTTAATATGTTCTGATATGTAGCTCTATATTATCTCTTTAGAAAACGGACTTTTCTAAAAAGCATCTTGTAAAAGTTAGAGTCAAGGGGACAATTCACAGTGAATAATTTATTCAGCATATTTTGTCTCATTTTTAATTCTCATGTTATCCAGGAGGCAATTATGATTACTTTGAATATGTTGGAGTTTACTCACAAAAGGGCTCTAAGGGAATTATTTTTAGACTGGATGTATGACTGAATATGATACTTGCTACTCGATCTCTGTTAGCCAGTTATTATTAGAGTCAGGCAACTATTCACAGTAGAACTAGACACAACTTATTTAAAAAATGCAGTCTAATTTCTGTTTGCAAATTATCCCCAGTGATGTCAGATTTTTGTGGGATACTTTATGTTTCACCACCTATGACCATACATGCAAACAACCAGGAAAGACCTTCAAATAATGGTAATATTTGGTATTAATTTCTTCTCATCCCAGCTTTGCGGCACTGTATCAGCTTCCTGACCAGATGATGAGAAGCATGTATACTCTGTTTAAATTAGTTAATTATCAGCTAATATTCATAAATGTTCAATTAATCTGCAATTCAGACAACAAAGAGAAGGCTACTTCCTGTGAAAATTCTCCTGCAAGCATTTACTGACCACTCTTCATCAACACCTTGTGAATATCCCCATGAATATGATTTACTTTTTGACATGTTTTCAACCATTCTCATGAAAGGAAGTTTGGATAACAAGCAGTGAATCAAAAGTTTTTGCACGCAAGTGCCTCTGGTCTTCAGTGGGCCATGCTATTGTGATATGATATACAGCTACGGTTGGCTATATAGCTAATGAGATATTGTTCCTATTCCCTGGCCAGTCAGTAATGGCTTTATCTTGTTTGGGAAGCTGCAGAGGAAAGATTCTACCTGAAGACACTGCAGTCTTTCTCAGCTCTGCTCCACAGCCTTCTTGAGCCCAGTGTAAGGCTCTCATGGAGCCCTTAATCCCTGTTCATTAACTGAGGATCAGTCATTCTGTTGGGAGAATATCAATGTGAGTTGGAAGATTAGTGTCAGCTCCGACCTATTGCCTTCAGGTGAGTCTGTGGCCTCAAGTGAGGTTCGTGAAAGCCTTGTTTTTACTCCTGATCCTCAGCTTTTCTGCTATTCGTGTGTCTCCAGTATGTTTCAGAAGTAAATATTTTCTCTGGAATACCTCCTCTTATACTTCCGAAAAAAAGATGAAGCACATTCGGAAAAAAACTCTGCAGCTTTCAGAGCAGCAGTAAAAGCTGACAGGAATAGATGTTTCAGCTGGGTGATGCCGAGAACATCAAGGACACAGTTCTCTGTTGAAAGGAATAAGTGGATGCTTGTAAGAAGGCGGCAGACTCATAAAAGTATAAAGGCACCACATACTTTATACTGGATGTCAACTCCCTTCAGATGCTGCTTGGGGTTGGCAGCAGACAATGTTTTCAGCCTCAGGTGACTCTGCAGCTGGCGTTGCCCTGCCCATGTGCAGAGAAGCTGCAGATGTCCCCACCTGACATGGCACTGCTAGGCATTTCAGAAGGCTTCTCTTTTTTCTTGTCTACATGGCCAAGCTAGGCCCAGCTATTGGAGTGGCTGCAGTAAATACCCTACCACCGAAGAGAAACAGGTGGCTTGTGCTGTGATGGGAAAGCTGAAGAAAATGCTTCCTGGCATTGGTTTAGCAGGTAAGTTTACCAAGTATCAACATTTATGGAAGTTCTGATTTGTGAAGTATATTCAGAGGTGGCACATGCCAAATCCCCATGAGAACGAGTCAGTGCTATTACTTGCAATGGAGCAGTACCAGGGGTATGTTCACACTGTGTGTCTTCCTCAGCAGATGAGACATGGGATGGATATTGGTGGCCAGCATATCCACCCACAGCATCACCACCTTAGCCCTGTAGACAGGTGAATAAATATGAATATGTTTAGGAAAAATATATATTCATATACACCTCAGTTTTCTATTTAAAAAGAAACTAAGCAAGAAACTCTGAAGCCAGTGAGGCAGTGCTTCATTTATTAGTGTGGTTGTTTGTAAAAAGGGTGAATTTCACGTGAAATACAAACAACAGTTAATGCTGAGTTCAGTAAACATGAAGAAGACTTCCATTTGCCTTTGTTTCCCCCAGTGTGCCCATGCTTTATATTAGGATACATCTACAATAGTTTTGTTAAGACACTTGGGTTAGGTTCTACTAATGTCATTATCACTTTGCAGACATGTCATAGTTTGCTATCTCTTTTATAACTTCATGAAGATCTTTACATATGTCATACTTCTTTCCCTGGTAATTAATGGATGAAAACGAGAGAGCTTCACCTTGCTGTCCTCTGAGAAAAAAATCACAAATTTCATGGTAGGTCAGTTTTACAAACTGTTATTTCTCAAAGGGAAGCATTCTTAGTAGAACAAAAAACCCCGTCTGTTCTAAAATTACTCTAGAAAGTCAAACAGAATGATAAGCTAAATGAAGTTTTGATAGAAGCAGGTGCCTTGCCATGACAGCAGAACTTTTTAATTGCTACTGTTGAAATAGTACTTCTATTGAAAAATTAGGTCTGTTTAAGTAAGTAGAATTATAGTAATTTCTGAGGCTAAACTGCACTTAGGGACAGGAAAATGCTTACTCCAGCCTGGTGCACATGAACACAGCAACAGTGAACACGAGGGTGGGTGGCAGGCTCTTCAGGATGGAAACTGCAGAGGAAGCTTTCTTATGAAAGCACAGGCCAATATCCTTTCAAGGAAGCTCCTGCTTTGATGAATTCTCCTTCTTGTCACCAAAGTGTAGTTATTCAAATACTCCAAGCTAGACTGAAGTTTCAGCCCAGAAAGTGCTGCTAAGACATTCTGTGTGGTCAGCTGTGATGCCCCAGCCCCTTAACCTAGCCCTGAGCTCCCCCTGGGACCACTGAGGGACAGGGTACAAGAACAGAAGGATGTGCATTTGTAGTGCTGGCTGATCTTCTACTGCAATTGCACACAGGGGTTATAACAAAAGGCTTGAATTCAGCTAAACCTTTATCAAAATATGAATTAGTACTTCTGGCTGATTTCTTTTAACTTTTGCCCCAGTCCCAGTGTCCCCTATGTCCTGCTACCCTTGTCTCCATGGCACAGAGAGATAAACTGGAGTCATGGGCTGAGAGATGGGGTCAGGCAATCAGTTCCCAAGGAGCTGGTTCCCAAGCCAGTCCCTCCAGTTTGGGACTACCCTGTCTGTCCCAAACTGCCCCAAACCACTGCAATACCCAAATTATTCACTGGGAGACTTTACCTTGAGGCAACTGCAACAGCTCTATTTCTTTAATGATTTTAATGGTCAGAATTGTGCCAGGTCAAGTCATTTAACTGTGTATTTAATTAGTAATCTGTATGCATGCAACTTAAAGGCATTCAGCTGTGTTATCTTATAGGGATTAACTAAATGGGTAGTAAATAATCTAGGCCAGCAATAAAAGTATTTATAGTGGTACTCTTTTTTTTTCTGCCTTTTGTTTTTTTTTTGGTTTTGGGTTTGGGTTTTTTTGTGTTTTGTTTGTTTGTTTGTTTGTTTTTACTATCATTGCAGCATTGTATGTACTGGTACAGGTCTGCATAAGAATATTTCTGCTCTAAGAGATGGGGGAAACACAGTTTGAAGTTTTCTAATGTGAAGTTCACAGCCAGACAACCCAAAAAGTTATTGCCAGATGCAGACTTGCTGTGTTAAAGAAAATAAACATGAAAGTAACTTGACCCAGTGGAAATTCGTAATTTAGAGAGGAATAGGAGAAGAAATATAACCAGGAACTGGTAGATAGTAGTTCTTTGGCTTGAATAAATCTTGAGAGTATTTGGCTGCTAACAGTTCACAAGTTAGCACTGGCAAAGTATTTCCTGGAACAGTAAAGTTAGCATCCCAGTCCTTCTTGGTCTGTGAGCGAACAAACTATTTTCTATGTTAGTGCCATTGAAGTGTAGAACAGAATTATGGGACTATGATCTTGCATAGATAAAATGTGTGTTTTGAAACAGGGAAATTTTTTTGTACCTACATCACATGGGTAGTCCCTCCTAAACAGAAGCAATGTCCTTCTTGTTAGTTTTGCACCAATGTTTTCTACGCTGTCTTTCACAATAGATCTTTCAGAATAACACTAGCAGTTTATAAAGAGCACTGACCTGTGAAACAGAGGTAATAGATATTGTTAAAAATCATGGCTTGCTCACTTGGAAGTCATGTGGCAGGGCCAGGTAACTTTAGAAGCACAAGGAATTGTTTAAGTGGGAAATGCAGCAATAACAACACACTGACCTGAGTGTGTAAGCCTCTGCACTATTTGGTATGTTTAGCCCAACAAATAACATCATGAGACATTGAATCCTGTCATGTCATTATTCCAGCATGACCCAGATGGTCAGCCAAAGGCTGTTTACCACAATCCTGCCACCCTCTGCTCATTTGGAAAGAAACAGCATGAGATATCCTTTTTGATCACAACTTTTCAAGCAGTTCTTGACCTCTAAACTTCTCCCTCATCTTTCAGTTAGATCAAGAAGGCTTGCTGCCTTCTCTCTTGTTTTTCCACTATTCTTGCTACAGACATCCAGACAAATATATGCCACTATCTATAAGCATACTATTTAGCACAAGGCTATGTATTTTAGCTTCTGCATGGGCAGAATTTCACAGGTGCCCTTCATGAATACTGTGCCTCTGGGAGGTGCTCACAAGGAGTGAGGGCCCTGGATAGGGTGCAGACCTGCACAGAGGTGCTGCAAATCACTTCTGTCTTCCTCAGCTACTGAGAGCTCACAATGACTGCCTGCTCTGGCAGGACGGATGGGACCTGGACCTGTGCTGTTGTGCAAGATGGATGTATCCATATTCTGCACAAGTCTAAAGAGAAGCTAAACAAGGACGTTGTTTCTGCCCTTCAGTCATAAACTCTCCAGAAATATTCTGCTATAGGTAGGATAAAACGCTAGATAAATTCAGGTCATGTTCAGCAAATCCTTCTATTCAAATAACTAATCCTGAGTAGGGAAAAGAGGATTTTTGAAAGCATGAGGTTTTTATTCTTTATTAAAAAAAAGTAAAACAGGCCCTCAGGAGTAGCTTTTCCCATTTTGAATGAAAAATATGTTCGGTGGAACAAACCATTTTCTTTGTCCTGAAATAAATGAAAACATTTGTTGGGAGTGCAAATCACTACTGATCAGCCCAAAGAGCACCTCAGGAGTATGGGCTGTGAGAGAGGCCTTCTCCCCTGCTCTCCTGCTCTTCACCTTCCTTTCTGGTTCTGTTCTCACAGCTTTCTCCTCTCTTCCCAGCTGAACAATTTCCCCTGTACTTACTCTTTTTCCCTGTTAAAAATTAATCAACTGAATAAATGTGCTGTTCTTCCAAGAGCTCATCTCTCCCTCACCATTCTGCAGTCACTTGGCTCAGCCTCTGGCTCAGAGAGTCTCCCCGGTTGCAAGGGGGCATGGAAGCATGTAACTTCTGGCCAGGAGGAGCACTCTGTTGTGAGCCAGCTGGGATAGGAAAATGCTCTTTGACAGATCCATGGATGTGCTGCTCCACTGGTGGCTCCTAGACACAGATTTAGACAGCTCCTTTACCCTTTTCTCCCTGGCCAAACAGATGGTCCTTCGTTTGGATCTGTCAACCTCCGGTCAATGATGAGTGAGGTCTTCTGTCCTTCTGCAAAAGATGGATCAAACCAGAAAGGATAAGAGTTTTCCACTTCCCCCAAAGCTCTTGGAAGCCCTTGCTGGCTTTCTCTGTGCTCACTCATCGCAAGACCCTGTAGGAGCTCTATTTGCTCTTCCTGAGACTGCAATTACCAGTACTCTCCTTGGCAGCTGTCTTGCCTTGCCACATTCCTTTTTGTTATGCTAATAAACTTATAACCAACTCCAGCTTCTGAGACTATAATACACCCCTTTTGATTCTCTAATCTACTTTCCGTGCATTAGGGCACAGAACGGTTTGCTAAGGGCCTGGCAGAATGTGTTTAGCTGACTAACTCTAGTTGTTCCTGTTAGATCCTAGCATGCTTCTGAGATTTGTAACTTCCACAAAAATCAAACTCCTAATCCTGAGGTTTAGCAAAGTTTGGATGGATTTGGATTTTACTACATCATTTTTTTTTTAGGGGAGATGACAGTGCTCTTTGATGAAAGATCTTTGGATGGAAAGTCTCTGTGCTAAGTTATGAGCATGAGAAGAACATACTTTCGGTCCAACATTTTATCTATTTTTTTTTTAGTTGAAGTGTGGGTGCTCATGTCAAGACGGCAGTGTGAATGCGTTAAGGGTCTGAACTTGTACTCAATACCTTGAGGGTGATGATGTGACTTATGGTTGCCGTAGTGGCATGTACAGACATGGATTTAACTTAGATCCAGTATTCCACAATGTGTCCCTCACAGAGCTGATAGCTCAAATTACATTTCCAGGGAGCTGTGCTTCCTGGTGGAAACCCTTTGAAGTGTTCCAGTCTAATGGGACTCTCTCTCCTTGGAACAAAATGAGTCTTTTACATACATTGAACAAGACTATATGACAAAAAATACTGCAAGCTGCTTTTATAGCCATATGCCTCTCTCATTGCAAAGATGGTTTACCTCTGGAGTGCAGTCTTTAGCACTTGTACCGCTGTACTATGTCATGCTTTTTTTTTTCTTTTTTTTGTCACTGATGCAGAAGGAGCACTTGAATTTATAGCATCATATCTAAAGGTCATATATTAGCCAGCTCAGTCTATGAAGTTTGGACTGCGATATCATGTGACAGAAATTATGCTATTCCACACCTAAGCAAAGCACACATCCTATCATAAATACCTATTAAAATGGGTAAAACATAAACCAGCATGCCAGAGAGTCAGGGAATTTTGGTATGAAACATTAGGCTAGTTTCACCAACAAACACAGACAGATTGGACAGGTGCTCACATACAAGTGTTTTTAAATTTCTTTAAAATAAAGACCTCACCCTTCCTTGCAAAATTCATCTTCAATGATGGCTGCTGATGGGGCTGTAGTTTGAAACTCACTGAGAAACCATTTGGGGATGGAGAAGGAAAAGATTCCCATGGGATGTCTAACTTCGAAGGCACGAATATCAATGAAAATTCATATGTAATTACTTTTTCATGTCAGAGAGTCAGGTCTGTGGTGACTAGTGTAAACAGCTGCACCTGTGAACTCATGGGAGTGAGGTTGGATGGTTTTTAGTAGCATAAGCAGGGATGAAATGGCATGGCTGGCATGGGATTTCTTTTGAAAGACACACTACTGCTGCCTCTGCACAGATTGTCAGGCTTTCCTTGGGGTTTACTTTGTTTAACCTCTCTCTGACAGTAAATAAGACTCGGAAATGCTTCAAGTTCTGGGATAACACAAGCTTTGCCTTCGTACAAAATGTGACACCTTTCAGTCTGCCAGGGGAAGCAGATAACCAGCCAAAGCTAAAGAGCTCTTTCACAAAGCAGCTCTTTCCAGCCACCCCTCAGGATGTGAGCACCAATGTTGAGCTTATCCAGTTTTCAGGGGGTTATATTTTTTTCTTTAGGAAATCCTTTCCTTATCTCTGTCTAAAAGGAAAATGTGGGCAGTGCTGCCCTCTGAAAACAGTAAGAAGTCTTTTTCACTGTCTTCCCAATTACCCATTGCTCCCTAGTTAAATTTCATGTGAATTTAATTTATTGTGCTTGATGGCTTAACAAGAAACTATTAGTACAAGGGAATTAGCTGCATGTCATGTCTGGAAATTTGCTTTGTTGTTTTTGCTGTTTTGATCCTAATTTGCCACTTGAGTAGATGCTCCCTGCACCTTGACATCAAAGAGGTCTGTGTCTCCTGACTGCTGCAGCTCTTCATTCAATCAGTGGCCTGACAGACTACATACAGGACAAAGTTTTCTTATTGGACAATCTGTCTCCATTAAATTTACTTTAACTGCACACCAATTTAAAAAACCCCCCAAACCAAAAAACCCCACCTAACAACAACAATATTAATAACAATAACAATCATAATAAAACAGTAAAAAAAGGAGCTGTGAAAATGGCAGTAAAATGGTCCCAGTATGGAATCAGAAAGGGAGTGATTTCTGTGGTTACTGTGTCCCTGGCCTCAGTAAACCCCCAACAAGCATTTAAGTATTAGTGTAATGAAGCAGGAGGTAAGTTAAATTCTGAGAAAGACTCTTTTGAGTAGTGGAGAAACTTTTGCCCGAATAGTCCTGCCACATCATGTAAATCAGGTGTCCAAAACTGATGTGCCCTGCTAGGCACTTAGTTTTCCAGCTCTGTTTTCCACCTTTGCATGGGTGAAACTGGGCCATGCACAAGGGGTTGAGACCCCTGCCTCTTCCTGTCCTGCCCCACAGCCCCCTGGCTCTCCATAGTCCCATTTGGTATTCTGACAATGAAATTCTCTGTGGCAACCATTCTGCTGATTTGTGCAGGGGATCAATTACTTCAGTCAGCAAGAGCCAAGTGTCCATGTCTATGTTGGTTGTTGTACCAATTCCAGTTGGTTTTCAGTTTCTGGCTGTATTTTATGCAAAAGTCAGGCTATGCTGCAGATGGGGTTTAGGCTTGTAGCAGTCCTCTTCTTTAGAAAATAAGTGTTAGCAATTCCAAAATTTTAAAACGGGGTAGTTGCAGTGGGCAGGGGATTCCAACTCAGAATATTCAGAAAGCTAAGAGAAACAAGGGAAGATAAACCGTGCTTTTATTTGATCTTCTGAGGAGCTTAACCTCTGCTTGGTCTGACATAAAGCAGCCCTGATGAATGCATACCACCTAGGTAGTCTCTGCTGAGCAATTTCTAGCACAAAGGAGGGGTGATTAGAGCAGTAAGAATCCCCCTCCTGTAGTTTTTTCAAACTATATTAAAGCTGTAGGGGCACCATCAACACTATGCCACCGTGTCCTGGGCTATTGATGCTGATACAGAGCAGCCAACACCCCGTGTCCTGCCCTAAGGCAACAGCACCTCTGGTTTGGGCCAGCTCTACCCATAAACTCCATGTCCCCCTGTGCTGCGGAGACACACTGAATGGAGGTTGAGGATGTGGCAGCTTTCCACACTGGAGAGTGACCATTTTCTGCAGGGGTGGGAAGCAATGCTGTTTCCCCAGTGCAGTGTAGCAGGAAACAACCCTCCCTGTGGCTCCTCCAGGCTCCAGCAGCAATGGGGACGAGGTGCTGACGGTACCGGATTTGCAGGAAGTCCACTGGGCGCAGGTGCAGGACGCTGCTGCCGGCCAGCATGACTGGCCTGGCATTCCTTCCAGCCACTGCACTCACAGTGGGTGTCTGGAAACCATCCAAGCAACTCATGTTCTTGCAACTGGGGCCGGTACTGCCTGGGTTTGGCTTTTTGAAGCCCTGTGTTAGTGACACCCTGGCCATAAACCAAGGTGGCATGTCACCAGGAATACAGATTATGGTTTAATTTGGAAGCAAGATCTCCTCATCAGAGTGTGAGGGATCTGCACCCTTCCTCCTCAACCTCTTCTCCTTGCAAGGAGTAGGCTGAGGGCACTCTCCCAGGGCACGAGTGCTGGCCAGCTTGGAGCAAGGACAGCCCCGCTTTCCCTATTAGAGGCACAGATGCTACGCGAGCACCCAAACACAGCCATTGAACAGGATTACAATGCTCCACACACTATCCAATTGCAAAAGAAGCCGCAGTTAAAGCAGACCCACAGAAGAATACAACTAGAGACACCAGCAGGACCTGATGGGAGTGACAAGGTGGCACAGCCAGTCTGTGCAGCTGCAAGATCTGCAGAATGGGGCTGAAGAGCTCAGTTTCTTTTTTTAGCATCTCAGAGGAAAGCTTCAGTGAAGGTTTAAAAGAAAATAAATGAACTTTAATATATATCTATACATATTTATATTATAATATATGGTGGTATATTGCCCCATCCCTGGAAATGTTCAAAGAGAGTCTAGATGGAACTTTGAGCAGTGGAAGGTTTCCTGCTCATGACAGACTTTGGAACTGGATGGTCTTTTATGTCCTTTCCAAATCAAACCTTTCTACCATTCTATTTGTGGGGTCATCCTGACAAGATTAGGTGCAGCAGGAGAGAAAGCATGGGAAGGCCTGTTCAAACCCTTGTAGGGAAGACAATTAAATCAAACATCACTGACACTGCAGACAGAGGTGAATGCATCTGTGCTGAATAAGGGGTGAAGAGCCTTGGAAGATGGCTAAAACACTGTTCCCTCCTAAAACACTCTCCCAGGCTCATGCAATGGGAACTATTTTAAAACCTTACAGTCAGTACAAACCTCTTGCTGCCGGCACCAGCTCTTGCAGAATATCCCAGGGTTCCGTTTTACCCCTCTAAGTGACATTAAAGAGAGCCTGAGATAATGATGCAGGTCAAAAAAGACAAGTTTGTTTAAACACTATTTTCACAGGCAATATACTATTTCGATGGGTAACAGCATCTAACAAACAGGAATCTGCATGAGGGTGCCCAGCAACCTTTATTTTTCAACCTCTGCATGGCAAGTGATTACATGGGCAGTATTACAAATCAAGAGGGAAGACCCAGGCACACTGGAACTTGAACACTGGAGCAAAAGTCTGGTATTGCTACAGGCAAATCATGCACTGATCATGCTCAGGCTGGGATTTTTTGCAAGTCTCTAATGAATAAATGGGACAAATGCA